TTTTTTCCCTCACTGGGGTGTCTTTATTAAATTAACTCACTGAAAAAAATTGTTCCCTGCCCTCAATGGCATGTCTTACGTAAACCCTACTGTTCCCCACCACCCCCCCACCCCCCCCACCCCCCTCAAAATTCAACACCCTATTGTTCCGATACATCCCCCCCCGATATGCATTTTGTTGTTACACATACATTCCAGATCACACAAGGATCGCGAGCTTGGTAGACAACCAGTCTACTGTCTTCACCCGACTAGAACGCCTGGTCATTATCGCTGCATCTGGGCTGAAAGTTGGCCCCAAATACAGCTATAATGACCTGCTGTTTTATTCGGGAGAAGACAATAGATGGCACAGCTTTCAGCCTGTGGACGTATACTATGGAAGACGAGAACAGATGGGGCACCGCCAGCCACCCTAGTACTTCCTGAACCGTCCAAGATTATTACTGCGGGAAGGAAGAGTTGGCACTGGAGTGCCATCACATGGAAGCAAGAAAATTATCATATCACTATGTACATGTGCCTGCAGCTTGGATGAGTTTACTAATTTACTGGGGTAATTGGCGTATATGCTCCCGAGCAGGAACCAGCAGGACATACTGGCAATGAGGACTGTTTCCAGTTCTCTACGGACGTAATTGCAGTCAGGTGCATCCAGGCTAGGTTGGAAAAGCGGCTATATACATCCAGGAAAATCCTAGCATGAGGCTTCCCTCAGAGAGGCTGATCTTCTTTTGACTTTGAGTCGACATCTAGTTTGATCGCCATCTCTGCCACAGACCTCACGAGAAACAGTGCACAATGCTGGATCACGTGTTCCATCTGTGGACCTCCTTGAATTAGAAGCACTCTCACAAGAAACAAAACACATTCAAAGTTCGAAAACTCTCTCCTCATCAGAATGAGACTGCTGGGCCAAATACTTCCTCCTGCAACGCCGAATGAATGAATGAATGCTTAGAGAAGCTTTGCAATAACAATGGAGGTGAGGCCATAAGATTGCCCTTACCTAGATGACAAGTTCAGCAGCCATGGATGGGTGTTGTTCTATCCGTTTGGCTTAAAATAGATTGAGTAGTGTCTTCTCTGATCAGTTTGAGCGCATTATCAATGTAGAACAGTAGAAATATTATAATACTAGAAGAATCCCTTTCGCATCATCCTTTTGGCTATAAAAATATCTAGTGCCTGTTCTGATCAGTGTAATATCTGATCTGTGGTCCATATTCTTTTTTTTGTTTTTATAAAGAAAGAGAAGAAGATAAAGAAGTAGATGGATCTGCGCAAAAAATTGATATAGGTTGCAGCAGCCTTCCAGAACTGGCGGCGGGGGGGGGAGGGGGGAAACGTTTCCGCTCTTCTTCCTGTGTCATTTTGAAGGGGGGTGAAAGCGCCCCTAATTTGTAGAATCCAATGAAACTGGAGCTCGTAACTTGTCGATTCACAGTCTAGATGTTGTATGTGATTCAGCCACCAGGATGGTCCCTGGGCTCCATTTTCCTCCCAAAAAAGGGAGAAATAAACTAACAAACAAACAGTTGTGCCCACCATCATGCAGTCTGTGCACAATTACCACATCCAGCATCAAAAGCCTGCTGGAGTTTTTTTTTTTTTTTTTTTTTTTTTTGATGCTCCTGTGCAACCCTGAAAGGCTTTTGACTGCACAACCTATGTCTGAACCCTGCGGCTGTGGGAGGGACAGCAGAGCGTAGATGATACGTCGGATTACTATTTCTGGTTGGCGGTAGTGATAATCTCACCCGCTTGGGGAACCTGATTGCAGATGTTTTTTTTCCATAACGTGGAGAGGCAGTGTATTGGTTCGCCGTGATTGAAAACCAGATCGCTGCAACGATGTTCGCAGTATGGAACTCTGGGTAGCCTGCCAGCTGGCTGGATTCTCCGTGTGTGCACACCATCCAGCCAGCTGGCAGCTACCCAGAGCTAAATTTCTGCAACACCATTGCAGCGATCTTGTCTTCAATAACAGAATCAGTACATCATGAAAAAAAACACCCGCAGTCAGATTTCCAAGCGGGTCAGATTATCATGACCGCCAACCAGAACTGGTATCCGACCTACATCCATGCTCTGCTGTCCTTCAGCAGACGGAGGGCTCGGACATTGGTAACCATTGTGGTGTACATAAGTATGGCCATGCTCAATGAGTACAGTAACAGTAGGAAGAAGCAAATCTCGCAGACTTCAAAGCTCAGAGCTACATTCTTAATTTCTTATACTCCAAACAAAATAGATGGTTTTGTCTGACATGTAGTTGGGTGCTGATTAAGGGCCACGACACAGAAAACTCTGACGGCCTGGTCATGTGGGGGCGTAGATTGTTCCCTCCCTGCTGGCTTTCTCCGGACGTCTGGTTGGCTGCTGACAAAAGCAGCACACATGACAGACGTGGATGACGTGGCATACCATCTCCTGCCGATGGCGTTGACAACCTTGTCGTGAGCAGGTGTAGATAATCTCCTGCTGGCTAAGAACTCCATCTGTGTAGTCAGCTGCTGAATAGAGCAGCACACATGGCAGACACGGACGACATGGCGAACCATCTGGTTGCTGTCTATGGCGTCGATGACATTTTATCATAAGCAGGTGTATATCGTTCCCCCCCAGTAGTTGCCTTTTGACATGTGGTTGGCTGCTGACGGGGGACCAGCACACGTGGCAAACGTGGGTGATGTGGCGGGTCATCCGACGTAAATGGCATAGGAGACCTTGTCATGAACATAGCTGTGTGGACTGCTCCCTGTTGGCTGTCACTGGACGTGTAGTTAACAGCTGTTTCCTTTCTGCTGGCTGCCTCCCCACGGATGTAGTTGACTGCTGACGGGAGAAGCACATGTGGCAGACGTGGATGATCTGGTGAATCGTCATGTGTCAATGGCATTGAGGAGCTTGTCATGAACAGCTGTGTGGATTGTTCCCTGATGGCTGTCTCTCGACGAGGTAGTTGGGCGCTAACAGCACACGTGAAAATTGCAAATGACGTGTCCGGCCATCTAGGAGCAGCACACGTGGAAATTGCAAAGGACATGTCCGGCCATCTAGTCTCGATGGCATTGACAACCTTGTCAGGTGCAGCTGTGTCGAATTTTCCCTGCTGGCTGTCTCCTTACTCACATACCTTGCAGTCACTGCGACAGGAAAATCCTGTGGCATTGATTGCGTACGATATTCCAGTTGTTGTGTTCCGAAAACTCTCATGCGATGAGAAATCTTTACTCAACTGCTGTGTACATATGATCTACCACCTCTTCCACAAATGCAGAAGGATGGATGGCTGGGAATCAAGCAGAGCAGCAATCTGCACCTTTGTGACGCAAATGGTGTGATATAACATTCTAGCATAACCTGTGGCTAACGAATGTGCCTACACTCTCTAATAAGTACAGTAAGGTGTAGAAAATAAGAAATAGCACCCGGCAGGAAATCAATGAACCCTATCAAAAGTTGCCAATCCTGCTGACCATTGTCTTCACCCGAATAGACGCCCAGTCATTATCGTCATATCTGGACAGAAAGTTGTTGTCAGGAATACAGATGTAATGACTGGGCGTTGTATTCGGGTGAAGACAGTAGTTTGTAACAGCTCACGCCCTTAACAAACGAAGAAAAATGGACGGGGCAGTGATTCGCACCTTCATGTCTGCCAAGTCGAGATCGTGGCCCCCTTCTACAAAACCCCACTCCTCTACCTGCAATTGCAACGAAAAAACAAAAGGGCAGAAGCACACACAAAAAGTACGTAAGCAAGCATGACCATAACCACTAACCCAATGCTTCCACCAACGCAATCACCACCAATGGAGAGCAGGTTGAACCAATGAGGAGAGCAGGTTGAAGGAAAGAAGAAAAGGAGGCAGAGGCAGAGGAGGAGGAGGAGGAAGGAGAGGGAGGAGGACGGTGACGAATTAGTGTGGTGTCTTGGAGTGGTCATTTTATATATTATTAATGATTGTAACAGCTTTTATGGGTATGTGTTGCCATGGGGACGAATGAGTTTTTGGGGAGCTACTGTAATTACAAGTTTAGCTAGTGCAATACCTGTTGTAGGAGACACCATAGTAACTTGGTTATGGGGAGGCTTCTCAGTGGATAACGCAACCAGCAATCTCAGCCATTGGTGGGGTTTTGGATCTCTTGCTGGTATTTGTTTGGTAATACAGATAATTACAGGCATTTTTTTAGCTATGCATTATACGCCTCATGTAGATTTCTAGCTTTCTACAGTGTAGAACATATTTCTTTCCATCTCATTAATGAAACAAGTGAGATGCGTTGCATAAAGTCTCTGAGGATCCCAAACAGCTCGGCGGTCGCTGGCTAGGGCAAGCAGCCGTACTTTTTTGTGGTTTCCTGCTGATCGAACATTGCTTATACAATTTTCACTGGTTCGGAGAAGGAGGCAGAAGATCACCATCACTGGCCAGCAGGCTAAACCAAGGAGGAGGGGAAGGAGGAGGGGAAGGAGGGGAAGGAGGAGCAGGATGACGAGGTTGAGGAGGAGGATAACAACAATATCAAAGAGGACTAGAAAGAGGGGGATGGGGGGAGGAGGAGGGAAAAGGGTGAAAGGCACCTGCCACACATCATTGAGACTCTCATAAGGCTTGAGACCTCCCGAAGTAAGACTTGTAAAAGAAAATGAAAATGCATAAAAAAACTTCAAAAAAGTTAGTTAGACGTTCGCTGCAGCTAGCCTCATCCCCCAACCATAATTCACCATCATCACAACAGTAGCTTGCTTGTGTAAAGACATGGTTAGGGTGTGTTGTGTTTGGGAGATGACTGTAGCAGTAGCTATGAGGTCAGAGGTAAGATAGCCCGTCAGTGTCAGTTGCTGAAAGAAAACCCTAACGACCATACTATGGGCAGCAGGTTCTGTCGGACAACTTCATTGCAGAGAGTCAAAACACACGTCAGGCACAAAAAAAAGGAAAAGAAAAAAACACGTCAGGCAATCTGAAGACCCACAAACTATCCAGGCACACAAGTGGCATTCAGGAGGTCTTGGGTTCAATCCCCATTGGCCTCAGGTACCTTCCTGGGGGCAAGCTTGGTGCCGGCCACCTAGAGATAGGCCACTGGTTCCCCCAGCAGCATTGACCAAAGACTGCTGACGTTCGTAGGGAGGGGACCGGAGGGGAGGCACAGTGACTGGCCCATCGAAGAACCTCGGTCCTGATGGTACTGGCTGACCCCTGGCCAGTATCACCCACCTGCTGTAGCAGGTATCGGACCTGCTGGTGGGTGCAGCTCCAGAACGTTCCCTCATTGCAGGCTTGAACACGGATGTGGCTGCTACGGGGTTCACCGTAATACTGTAATGACCAGGGTTACCAGCGTTCGGGCCGAACTCCCGAACCCGAACAGCCGAATGTTTGCCCCCCTTTGGAGACGCGTTCGGCCGAACCCAAACGCCCAAAAAAAAAAAAAAAAAAAAAAAAAAAAGGAACTCAAAAATAATCCGCAAAAAAACTGTGTTGCAGAAAAATAAACTGAACAACTTTTGCCTCGGGGTCACATCGAAATTCTTTACCAAATTTCAAATAAAAATTAAAAAATACGATTAAAAAACAATTTATTTTAGTTTAGTTTAGTTTTATTTATTTTGGGACCGATTGGGCAAAAGGTCCCGGGCCACTCTCGTAGCCTAGAATTTTCTTTTTTTACTTTGTGCAAGGAATACGAGTGTGAACGATATACCCAAAACCAAGTTGCGAAATCACACAGATGTACAAGTAGTCGTGTCCAAGCAGAGAGTACATATGCACCGAGAAAACCATCCATATAGAGCAATACAATGAAGTAATGAGTCAATGTCCAAGCCCGTAGGCCACACCAACACAGTATCCAAGTCGCTCCTCTCTGTCTGGCGCCCAGCGCCCAGCCTACTCTACCTGACTATCCTACCTACATCTGGTTCACGCAACAGGCTCACTTCGACTCTCGAAGACCAATGTACATGACTGTCAACACCATAGCCGACCTCTCTTTATGTACCAGGTACATATCTCGTCACCCTCAATCAGACCTTGACTACCCCACACTGCGCCTCCTTCCCTGAAGACCACCAGATCGCCCTCCTAACCCCTGGCGCCCAGCAGCCCGGCTATGGCTGCCTGTGCCCCGCTGTCCTGCAGCAACCCACCTCACCACTACGCACCACGTCAGCGCCCTTGGCAGCAGCGCAGCATCAAGCGATAGCGCAGCAGCACTTCCGCATTGCCTCCACTGGCCAGCATACCTGGCCTGGGCTGCCTCACTTCCTTTATGGAAGTGGCAGCCTCTTGGATGCTGCGTGTGGCCTGGCTGGAAGCTTCCAGTAGCTTCCGGTTGGGCCTCAGACCCTGCGCCCAGGCCTGAGCCTACAGTTGAGGATCTGGGCCCTTTTCAGTTGGGCACGGCCTGGGTCTCCGGACTTCGGCTGTTTGCTGCATCTGTGCAGCGCTCCCAGGCAGGTGCATAAGCACTACTGCTTTTCCAAAGGCCGGCGGCCTGCTTCCCAATGTATCGTCCCTGCTTTGTGTGTATGTGCCCAGGCGCAACTGTCAAGGCCTGGGCCAACTGTATGACGCAGCTTGGTCAGGCTCAGGCGTCTACCCAACCAACTGGCGTGCTGCGAGAGCCTGAATACCCACATATGGAAATGTCGAATTTTGGCCTTTGACGAATATTCAGGCCCGCCTTCGCTTAGGGCAGGCACTCGGCTTGCTGGGGGCCTTAGCCCAGAACAATGTGTCTGATAGGGCCCCTTGAGGGCTTGTTCCTCCCATTTGGATCACCAGCTACTTAATTGATTGACTGACTGATTGATCATTGATTGATTATAGGATAGGAAGGTTAGTGTGTGTGAGACTTCCTTTCTCTTTCTTTCTTTTTTTTAACGCCCAGGTTGTTGAAAAAAAAAAACAAAGAGACTTCCTCTCTCTCTCTCTCTCTCTCTCTCTCTCTCTCTCTCTCTCTC